AAAAAAAAAAAACAAAAGATGTCTCTCTTTATCAGCGGAAAAATGAGGAAAGACTTCGACTCATACCAAAATTGAATTTCCAAAATGACTATTATAACCAAATAAAGAAGGATTTTTTGAGCACCAAGCTTTTCCTAAATTGAACCTTAAAGTAATTAACTGACCTCCTACACGCTGCTAATTACCTCATCCATCTGTGGAAAAATTGACATAAAAATGTAAGTTGATATAATTTTCCAGGTTTTCAGCCAGCTATAAAAAATGCCTCACCTTGAATACTGCTCGGGAAGAGTACCTGCACAAGAGGAATCTCAACGTTCCGCTGATGCGCAAGAAGAGTTAATTGTTTAATGCTGTAGGGAGTGTCACATAAACCCTCATAAATACATCCATGCGTAATAAGAGCCTAAACAAAAAAAAACTTTTAATTTACAAAAAATAAAACTCCGAATGCTAAAAAGCTGAACCTGTTTTTTTAAAATCACAGCATTGAAAGAATTTTAAAAATATAATTCTTGCGAACGGCACCTCAACATTTCGTGACTCCGACAACGCTGCAGCAAGTGCTTCGGAATACTGTTTAGAAGTGTGAGGGTCAACCCAAAGTAGAAATTCAATCTTAAAAACTTTCATTAACATTAGCAGTAACAGCAGAAAAAAAAAATACTCTATGAAAGATGAAAATTTAAAAAATAAAGTCTTTTCTTGAACATTCTAAACTTTCTTTAAAACGAAAACTTACTTCTACGTTAGGTGATTTCTGTAAATAGGCTTCCATAAACCTACTAAACGTCTCTATATCCAAAGAACGACTGCAAATGAATAACCTTACAAGATAAGTCGGTGAACACCATATAAAAGTGCTGTTTTTTTTAAAACATCAAGGCTGGAAGACGCTTAGAACAAAGAAAGCATAATTTATTAAGAAATGTTACTGTTTATAGATCATTTCGCGACAAGAACTGAAAAAAACTTACCAAATGACTAGTTTTAGATGCAAAATAGGTTGCACAATTAGCTTAGCCACTCTTCTAAGATCCAAACAAGGTTTGATGCATTTGACTTCAAGATGTTCAAACATATCAAAGTTACTCAAAAAAGACATAATCACTTGCCACTTCTCATCGTCAAACATCTTGGAAGATTTTTCAGTCTTAACATATTTGAAGCTACAAGTCAGGCCTAAACAAGATGACTGTTTAAATTAAAATAAAAGACAATACCTTACACTCTTCAATAATCTACAATCTTTAATATCAACATTTCAGAATTCCCCAAACTGCGGTTTGACTTCAAAAGTAGGCCAGAAATAAATTCAGACAGTGCTAAACTACAAAAAGCATAGTTCTCTTCTATAAAATCATTTCAAAGACTGTTAAATATTATTTAGGCGCAATAAAATTCTTTAACTCTCCTTCCATCTAATAGCTCCCACACGAAACAGAAAAGTATTTAATATATGTGTTAAAAAAAATAAATTTAGAATTAAAGCACAGAGGACGCTTCTAAAATTCTAAACGCGCAGTTTTACAAACTAAGACTTCCTTTTGTTAATAAATATTCCGTATAAACAATTAAAATTACTTTATCGAGCTCAAATCAGAAACCCTCCCTAACTTCAATAGCAAAACGCTTAAGATTAAAGAACTACTTTCACGTCTTCAGAGTGGACAAGTTAGAAATGCAAAAGACTCCTCAGTTTCGCTTTATTTTTTGTTTTAGTATCCTGCAACCAAGTTTCTAACTAAAACACATTAAAATTTTATATCACCTTAATTCTTTACATACTTCATTAACGCAGATACGTAAACGCACTTCTTCATTAATAACAGACGCTCAATTATAAGAAAAACTCATAAGAGCCTACTATGAACGTAAGGAAAACACAATTTTCAAAGCATGCTTAGAATGAACACAAATTGCATTCCTTCACGCACTTCAACGAAATATAGTTCGCTTACTAGTGTACCACCAAAACCAGACTTTTACCAATTCAAAGTCAACCCCCAGAAATTATTGCTTCAACTGACCTGTATCAACTTTCCTGGGCACACATCCATATGATTTATTGTAGTAAAAACTGTCATATACAGAGATACAAGTATCAGAGATCAAAATGTTGCCATAGAGGGGTTTAGAAAACACAGTATACCAATTGCAGTTTACGCGGCGAATTCTTCGCATATCACGAAAACTTAAATACTGCTGTAAATGCATCAAAACCGGGACTGGAAAATCCATCTACACCTAAAATTAGATGTTAAAAACTTAAAGCTCATTCTCAGACATATGACAGTAAACAGTTAATACTTTAAAAAATAAACGTGGGAAGGAAGATATGATATCGGAATTGGTCAGCACATTAAAATTGGTAGTCAGACTATCCAAAGTAACTTTCAAACTTTGCAGATTTCGTCAAAGCCAAATATTAAGTAGTAAGCAAATCAAGACAAAAATTTATGCGCAAGGAGCGACAAGAAGAAAAATAAATTAACGGAACATAGAACCGATAACGGGTAAGATAATAAGTATTACCAAAATTATCCTGAAATACCAAATACGAATGACTGAGACTGATTGACAGAAGCCTATCTCCTTACAGCAGTAACCCTCGCCTTCTGTAATGTTTTACGAAAGATGTTAATAAAGACAATGAATCCTTGTGAAACTATTATATCAAATCTAAATTAAGATTCAAAAAGTCAGAAATATCAAAAACTAACAACGGTGACGGCAAGCGACTCAAAACATCACAGTCAAAGTAGGTGGTCGTAAAAACTTATATATCGATATCTGTCACCGTTAAATAATTCTGCATTCCAGATGCCGCTGAAAGTAAAATTCAAAATCCAGGAGCCATCTTCGCATACCGACAGATCCTTCTGTGATGTAAAAGAGTTTATTCTAGTTACTAAAAAAAGTTATCGTGAAGAATTTTTTTTACTATTACCCTACCAAGCAGAACTGATATCTCCTTATATATTAAAAGGGTAAAAAAAATTTTAAAAATTTACTAAAACTCTGTATACATAAGACTTAGTTTTTACGGTTTTAAAAACCTCATCCTCATTGTATCTTCCTAGTTTTTGAGCCTACTGATTATACATGAAGCTAATTAGTTTACTTTTCTGTAGTACATGCGTTCATCCCGCAGGATTTGCTACAACGGCCTCTTCTCGTCAGAAAGAACTAGAAGACTGAAATGCTTCATCAGCAAACTTTTTAGATTTCATAATCCATTGGCTATTTTGAGTTTGCATTTTTAAACTGACCGAGCGAAACAGAAAAAGAAAAGAACTTGAGCGTTCAAAGTAAACACAAAAAGGGAAGAAAATAGGTACGGGGATTTGCCCATCAAATATACAAAATAAAGAAATAAAAAAAAGACACAGAAAATTATTTCATTAAACTTTTTTGACTCCCGAGAAAATAGATCAAATGAAGAAATAAATTTTTAAAAAACTTCTACTTACTTTTAAATATAGTGGTTATGAAAATAAATAGCGAGTTAAGTGGAGAAAAAAAAATGCGTTCACCAGGATATTATCTAAGTGTCAGAATGTAAAAATATAAATGGTAAAAAAAAAAAGAATACTGAGTGATCAATAAAATTGTAATGGGTAAACCATGAAGCTCGTGTTGATGCGTACCAAACGAATAATTCTTTTTATTGATCAAGATGCACTCCTGCTTTTCGAACTTTCTGCATATCGCCGCCCTGTTGCTTGCCGTTCTTCAAAGTGTTTGCAATCGCAGCAAGTACGCAAAATTATTGAAAACAACGGGAAGGAACAGAACGATATTTCATTGTTGTTTTGTCCAGCAGCGAAATATACTCTGAAATGGCATGCACGTTCAAGTGCTATTAAAGCCCTGTATATACAACGTATGAAATATGCAGAATCCAAGCCTAAACTTAGGGTCTTTTTAAAAAACAGAAATTCTCGCAAAAAAATGAGCAACAAAAAAAAAAGTGGATTCAAGGCATAATATTTCCTTATCTTACTTCACAAATCATATCTGTTTTTAATGTCATATTTCAACAGCATATGTATAAAGCAACCAAAGTTTTCTAAGGACTATTTATGAAATCGCGCTTTTCCGTTATCATAACTTATCGCTTGAAGAATTGCTTCTAAAATTTATTCCTCT